TTCAAGAGTTTGGCCAAGCGGCCTTCGGAGAGTATAATTTCCTTGCCGCGGACCTTGGTGGTGACTTCAAGCTTGTCACCCCATTTGGTGGCCACTAGGTGTTGATAGAACTCTTTCACCAATTCGGGGTACATGTCCCCTTTGATGGTGAGGTATGTGTCCAAGAGGCCTTGGTAGTTAAGCATATCGACCAATTCCGGAACGAATTGGTCGGGTTCAAGGGCTTTACCTCCTATCACAGTGTAGCCGGCGTTGCTCCATTCTGGGGCACGGGTTCCGAGGGGTTTCTTTGGCATTTTAGGGTAGGTGATGGCCTTTTTCCAGCGAGTTGCGTTTTTCCGGCGGGTTCTCCGGTGTGATTTTTCGACGGTGGTTTCCTTTGTTTGCGAGGGCGGTGACGGCTCGGTGAGGGGGGGTGACGGCGCTGTGGTGGCGTCGGGTGGTGTGTGACAGTGGGCGGCGCCCAGGTGGGCGACGGGCGGTGCTTAGGGTCGTGGTTTCTTCCGGCGGCAGCGGCGGCGTGAAGCGGTTACGGCCTGGGTGGCCGGTCGCGGCTTGGCTGCTGGTGGCGGCGGTCTCGGGTCTTCGACGTCGAGGGAGGGGGCGGTGGTGTGTTTGCGGAAGGAGGAAGGGGAGAAAGTGGGGGGAAGAAGAAGAAGAGGGTTTTTGATTTGGGGGTTTTGGGGGTTTTTAGGGAATGTAGGGGCTTTAACAAGGGAGTGTTCCCTTGAGGTTTGAAGAAACACTCATGGGCTAGTGGTTAAAGTCTTGGTTACTTAAGTGAGAGGTCAAGAGTTCAATTCTCAAGTTGGTAACACTAGGCCCTATGATGATGGGGCCTTTGTCTTTTTCCTTCTTTTGTCTTCTAGTGGCGAGACTTGGCTAGTTTGAATAGTTCTAGTTCTACCCCCCTTAAATAAGACCGAATTTTGAACCGATCTTTTATTTATAATATCTCTGAAGTAATTAAGCTAAATAAGTAGTTCTACCACGAAGGTGATTACAAAAAATTGCCAACCTAACCTAGACAGAATTCGTCTTCTTGGTTTTCTCCCACGGGGTTTGCGTGGTCCTCGTCTTCTAGGCTTAGGTTTCCTTCCTCGAGATTGCTCTCGTTCCCGAGGTCGGCTTGAGTGCGGCTCATGATTAATATTTTTCCGGGAGCGTCGTAGTTTCCTCGATGAGCGGTGCCCCCATGTTGTCCCATGGTGGTAGTGCGTGGTCTTTGGGGTTGGGTGCAAAAGAAGGCCTTGTGTCCTTCCTCTCCGCAGTTGAAGCATCGCAAGGGATTGCCATGCAATCCTTGCCTCTATGGTTCTTGTTGCATTTCGGGCAAGGGAAGCTTCTAGCGCTAGCGTCGTTGTTCCCCAGAGGTGGCCTTTGGTTGGTCAGGTTACTTGGTCTTGTGTTGGCGTCGTTTCTTGTTCTTTTTACTGGTGGTGCCCCTCCTTCGGGGTTCCTCTTTCGTACTTGCTCCTGAACCCCGCGTTGGAGTAGTTGGATTCGGTAGAGATTAGCGGCACTGGAGTAAGCCTCATTGAGAGTCCGAGGTCTGCTTACCACTAGTGCTTTTCGGGCTTCAAAGTTGAGGCCCGATATGAATCTCTCTATTTTGGTTACCTCGGTGGGGACTAGTTTTGGTGCGAAGCGTGCTAGTTCAAGGAATCGTTTGTGCTACTCCATGACGGTAGCTGTCCCTTGTTTCAGATGGAGAAACTCTTCGTACATGGATGCTCTTACGTGTGTTGGATAGAATCGCTCTCGTAGTCGCGTTTTGAGTTGTTTCCAGTTGAACCCCGGTTCTTGTTGGTGAGTGGGACCCTCGTGGATCCACCAAAGATCGGCCTCGTGTCCGAAGTAGAATGAGGCTATCTCTACGCGGCGTTCTTCTGGGCATTCTACCAACCCGAGAATTTTGTCGAGGGTTCGGATCCATTCCTCCAGGATTGCGGGATCCTCTTCTCCTGAGAACGTGGGTGGTCGATGGTTAGAGACTTGTCAGGCAAAGTCTGGGTTTGCGTTGGATGGAGGTGGTGGGGGTCTGTTGTCGCGGAGAGCCACGTCGCTTAGTGCTTGGCCGACTTGTGTTAGTGGTTGTAGCGTTTGGGTTAGGGCGTCGTGTGCGCCGGGTTCTGGAGTCCTTGATTGTCTTCTGTTGGGTGTCATGCTGTCGTCTTCCTGGGTCAATGTTTATAAGAATGTTAAATTGGGGCTTGGTGTCCTTCTTTGACGTGATAAGCGGGGGAAAGTTTTCTTTAGGTAAGGGAGGAGAGGTTATGTGTAGGTTTCACAGTCTCACCGCGCGTCCTAGGATTCTTGGATCCTATGTGTAACACCCCAGATTTTCAAGACATTTTAAAACTTATAAAATAAAGGTATTATCTCATTAAATCCCAAAACGTAATACAAGTGTACGGGGTGCTATGCCACACCTGAGCTAGAGAACCCAGGTGCACAGGCTAACTAACTAATATCCTCAATAATGTAAATGCATAATATGGCACGCAGGCCGAAAAAGGGAACTATCTACTTCTACGTTCCGAGTTCTAGCGCGCTCCAGTGACTTATTCATCTGTGCCTGAAAGCCAAATATATCTGTTCAGCGAGAGATGCTGGTAACCCACTCCAACGCGTTGAAATACAATACATATAGAGATATATATAGATATACGAAAATCATTGTGAGCATGAAGATATATTCTACGAACTCTAACTTTTAAAACCGGGAATGACTCGACAGATAAGGCCAGACACAAGCAATAATTATAACAACATATGCAGTTCACAATAGATAAGGCAGATAAGGCAAAGCATAAACAATAATCACAACCCATCATGAACAATCCCCAATATGAATCCCATAGTCACATCCCAAGGCACTCATAATCACAATCTCGTCCATATCTCACACATAAGGCACGTTGTTGGCGCCACAGGACCACTCGCACGCCCATACATGCGGGTCAGCGCATATAGCTCTGACACGGCCCCACAGCACCATGCCCCGTATCGCAACACGGGGAGGTCGATCGCAACCGACCGATGAACCGCAGCTCATCATAATGTTTGATCGCAACCAAACAGTGGACCGCAGCCCAAGAGAGTGTGTCATCTGACTGTAGCCAGGAATTCCCATCTGACTACAGCCAGCCTCTGAACCGCAGCTCAGGAAAATGTCATCTGATTGCAGCCAGGAATTCCCATCTGACTACAACCAGCTTCTGGACCGCAGCCCAGGATACCGTCATCCGACTGCAGCCAGGAATTACCATCTGACTGTAGCCGGCTTCTGAACCGCAGCTCAGGATAACCAATCCGATCGCAACCGAATTGGGGTAACACGCACACATAACACATAGCAAGCACATGCAACCCACATTACACATTGGGAAGGGGGATAAAGCGTATAACAACCTTATGCGTGATCCATCACGTACTAAGAATAGTCCTAAGGGGTTCATACTTCTTCCACCTAGGTCAACGGGATACCAATTCAACTAGCATGCAATATAATAGACTCACAAACCTACGAACGGTACCCGAAATATCAAACTAGACATAGGCACGACAAACGGGGTCCGTTGGGACACCACGGGGATCGGGGAAACATCAAACGGGGAAGCCGGGAGCCCGAGGTAGGGGGATTTCCAGCGGGTAGCCGGTGGGTGGGGGGTCCACCCGCCGGCTGCCCGCCGGCTGCTACTGTTCCGGGCAGCGGGTGCCCGGCGGGCAGCTGCCCGCCCGCCGACTGCCCGCTGCCGGAGCTGCCCGAGAACGCCGCGGGTAGGTGGCGGGTCCCCTACCCCCACCTACCCCCCACTGACTCTTTTCACCACTTTTCGTCCCGGGAACCGTTGTGGAACCCGAAACCATGCTTAGACACTTTTCAACGTAATCAACGACAACACATAAACAATTAACGGGTCAAATACGATAAACGAACGGCACATAACCTAACATGCTTTTCTAATCATAATCAACACCCAAACATGCGATTCCCACCCGATAATCTCAGAATAAGATCATACGATACAACCTAGGGTTCTAATCACTTTTATATCAATCAAGAATACGGTTCGTCTTCTAATTGCAAGATTCGGTAAGAATAACACACAAACATCAAGGATACCAATTAATCATCAAGAACATCATAATCCTCAAGAACAACACATAATCATCAAAATCCCAATTAATCATCACGAACATCATAATTATCAAGAAACTTCCAATATCAAGATTATCAAGATTCCCCATGGAATCATTAAATCAATATCAATAATAATCACCATAATTTCGCCATTCACAATAATATGGGGGAAACCCTAAGGGGAAATCATAGCTATAAAAATAGGTTTTGTTGAGACATGGGTTACCTCTTAGCCTTAATTAATTCCTTGGCTATGAAGGATCTTTCTTTACGCTTTCTTGATCTCTTCTATGGGAATTCTTGGAGCTCTCCTGGGGTGATGGGCGTTTAGGCGTGTCGGGGGTTTCTAGGTGCTCCCTAAGTTCCCTATTTATAGACCTAGGGGTTTATTTAGAGTTTATTCCTATTGGGTTTAGGGTTTGGGTTTATATAATTGGGCCCATGGGCTATGGTGGCCTTTTTCCCTAATTAACCAATATACTTTATTTTTTCTCCTGGGTTATTAATTAATTAATTAATTAATCAGTTGGTTTTAGGATCCGTAACACGGGGTGTTACACTATGTTCCTAAATATCTAGAGTTCAAGCTTAATGTCTTAAAGTCCGGTCTTAAGAGTCTTATCCTAGGGTCAACTTAGGCTCTGATACCAACTGTAACACCCCAGATTTTCAAGATATTTAAAACTTATAAAGTATAGGTCAAATCTCATTAAATCCCAAAGCATAATACAAGAGTACGGGGTGCTATGCCACACCTAAGCTAGAGAACTCAGGTGCACAGGCTAACTAACTAATATCCACAAAGCATAAACATGGCACGCAGGCCGAAAGGGAAACTATCTACTTCTACGCTCCAAGTTCTAGCGCGCTCCAGTGACTTAGTCTTCTGTGCCTGAAAGCCAAATATATCTGTTCAGCGAGAGATGCTGGTAACCCACTCCAACGCGTTGAAGTACAATACATATAGATATATATATATATAGAAATATGAAAACCATTTTGAACATGAAGATATATCCTACGAACTCGAGCTTTTAAAACAGGGATAGACTCAACAGATAGGGCTAAGCACAGACAGCAGTTATACCGAGCATATACAGTTTACAACAGGCAAGACAGATAAGATAAGCACAGTTAATAATCATAACCCAACACATACGATCCCCGGTACAAATCCCATAGTCTCATCCACAAGATACTCATAACAACAACTCATCCATAGTTCATCACATAGCACACTTTGTTGGCGACACAGGACCAATCGCATGCCCATACATGAGGGTCAGCGCATATAGCTCTGACATGCCCAGCAGCACCCTCCCTCGTCTCACACTACGGAGGGGTCGATCGCAACCGACCGCTGAGCCGCAGCTCTATATAATCTTTATATACCTGACCGGTCTTTACCAGCCTGGTTAACAGTTGGGATGGTTCTCAACCTATTCAGCTGCCCGTATAGTGGACCTTTGTCCTATACAATATTTGTATACCTGACCGGTCTCTACTAGCCTGGTTAACAGTTGGGATGGTTCTCAACCCATTCAACTGCCCGTATAGTGGACCTTAGTCCTATATAATATTTATATACCTTACCGGTCTCTACCCGCCTGGTTAACAGCCGGTATGATTCTCAGCCCACCCGACTGCCCGTATAGCCCGATTGATCTCAACCAAATCGGGGTAACATGCACACATAACACATAACAAGCACATGCAACCCACATTAACACATTGGGAAGGGGGAGAAAATGTATAACAAACCTATGCGTGATCCTTCACATTCTAAGAATAGTCCTAAGGGGTTCATACTTCTTTCACCTAGGTCAACGGGATACCAATTCAACTAGCATGCAATATATAAGACTCATACGACCTACGAACGGTACCCGAAAATCAAACTATACATAGGCACGATAGACGGAGTCCGTTGGGACACCACGGGGGTCGGGGAACATCAAACGGGGAAGCCGGGATCCCGATGTGGGGTACAAACCAGCGGGTGGCCGGTGGGTGGGGGTCACCCGCCGGCTTCCCGCCGGTATTTACTGTTCCGGGCAGCGGGTGCCCGGCGGGCAGCTGCCCGCCCGCCGGCTGCCCGCTGCCCGCTGCCGGAGCTCCCTTTTTTGGCCGCAGGTAGGTGGCGGGTCCCCTACCCCCACCTACCCCCCACTGACTCTTTTTCACCAAAAACGCCCCGGGAACCTTTGTGGAACCCGAAACCATGCTTAGACACTTTCAAACGCAATTGATAACACACGTAGACAATTAACGGATCATAGATCGAGAAACATATGGCACATAACCTATCATGCTTCTCTAAACATAATCAACACCCAATCATGCGAATTCCCACCCAATATACCAAGAATAATTTCATACGATACAACCTAGGGTTCTAATCATTTTTAAATCAACAAGGACACAAATGATCTTCTAATATCAAGATTCGGTAAGAATATCACATAAACATCAAGAACATCCTACAATTATCAAGAAACTCATATAATCATCAAGAACGTCATATAATCATCAAGAACACCATAATTATCAAGAACCTTTCATCATCAAGATCACCCATGGAATCATCCCACCAATCATCAATAATAATATCACAAATCATCAATACACAATAATATGGGGAAATCCTAAGAGGGGAATCATAGCTATGAAAATAGGTTTTGTTGAGACATGGGTTACCTCTTAGCCTTAATTAATTCCTTGGCTATGAAGGGTCTTTCTTTAAGCTTTCTTGCTTTCTTGATTTCTTCTAAGGGAATTCATGGAGCTCTTTGGGTGGTGAGACGTTATTGTGGTGGGGGGGGGAGGGGGTTCTAGGTGCCTCTTAAGTCCCCTATTTATAAATTTAGGAATCCTAGTTAGGAACTAATATTATAGGCTTGCTAATTCTATTCCTTTTGGGACTAAGGATTGGGTTTGGGGATAAGGGCCCGTGGACTATGGTGGGCCTTTCCTAATTAATTATTGTGATTTAATTCATTATTTTGGGTAATTGATTAAATGATTTTATTGATTTTAGGGATCGTAACACGGGGTGTTACACCCCCCCCCCCCCCCCGATGTGAAAATCTGTTTATAATAAGCAGCAACCAATGAACTCAAGGTCTGGCCCTCTCGCCAGACTCCACCATCATCCTTCAGTTTCACAATAGCATCATTCTTCCTATGGTGCGAGGCATACTTATGAAAGAACTTGGTATTTCGGTCAGCCTCCTGAAGCCAGTGCTGCTTTGCACGTTGCTTCCAGAAAGCCTCCTCCTAAGACAGAACAGTGCTCAAGCTATCATCAAGAAGTCTAAACCGAGCTAGAAAACCGGGGTCAAATTTACCCCGCAGGGCATTCATTTCTTTCCTGACCTCCTCGGCCCGCCTTCCAAACTTGTGGTACCGATCACCACCCCACCTTCTCAGGCCCCGCCAACACAAGTCCAGTCTTGCCTGTAAACCTAGACCTGCGAAAATGGACCACTCCCTCTCCAAACCCCCCCCCCCCCCCCTCAACCGTCATCCAAAAGCCATGCATTTTCAAACTTAAAACCCCGGGCCTGGAAAACAGGTGCAGCCCCATAAATATCCAGATAGAGAGCCAAATGATCAGACGAGTCTGTTTGTATATTAAACAACCTCGCCCATTCAAAAGCCTCCCTCCAGTCCATACAAGTCACCACCCTATCCAACCGCTCCTCTACCCAATCCGCCGTCCCCTTCTAACGCTCCCAAGTATAGGGATATCCAATCATGGGGAGTGTCAACAGACCACAATCATCCAGCGCCTCTCCAAAACTCTCCAACAGACCATTCGGGTGCGGCAACCTACCCCTCTTCTCAGACTGCATTAGTAAATCATTAAAGTCCCCTAAGACCACCCAAGGGAGATCAGAAGCACCGCTGAGAGACCTAAAGAAATCCCATGATGCCCTCCTTCTACCTCTCTCTGGGAAGCCGTAATAACATGTAAGCCTCCAGAGATGCTCATCAGGGAAGGACACCTCCAGGTCAATATTGTTGTGAGAATAGCTTAACAGCCTGGCACTGTTATTCCGCCGCCATCGAAAACAAAGACCCCGCTTCAGTCCCACACAATCCACATTGAAACACCCCTCAAACCCCAGCTTCACACGGAGCCTCTCCACATGTCCCCCATCCACCTTTGTCTCCATCAAATACACAAACTCTGGCTTCTTCCTGGACACAAGGCCCTCCACCTCACGAACTGTCCGTGGATTGCCCAAGCCACGGCAGTTCCAAAAAAGGGTACTCATCGGGACTGGCGGGCCTGGTCCACAGGTCCCGCCAAACACAAAGAATCAGAATCAACAAGCATGTCCCCATCTCCACCATCCAAACCACCGGAGCCCCCACCCTCCATCCTACGCCTTTTAGGATCCGCCCTAACACCCTCCTCTTCCCCTACTACCCCCTTACCCCTCTCACCACCCGCCTGGTGTTCCAGTACATTCCCAGAACTAGCTGCCACCACCTCCCGTAACTGCTCCACCGCCCCTACCCCAAGACCCGCTGCGGGAATCTGCCCAACACGCACACCCCCATAACCGATCTCACGCCGTCTCTCTTGCCCCAGCTGAAACCATTTGACACCCAACACCTTTACCGGATCGGTCCCCCTCGCCCTCATACTCGCACCAAACGGATATTGTTCAGGCTTCAATAGCGACCAGCGTGCCGCCAAACAAAACTTATCAGTGTGCCCCCATCTTACCGCAGTAAAAGCAGAACATATGCAAACGTTCATACTTGAAGTTGATCCACGTCCAAGAACCATCCCGCAAGATCATCTTCATCCAACGCTTCAAGGGGTTAGAAACATCATGAGCAACCCTAACCCTGTAGAACGACGTCCACGACCTCTCAAAATTACGTTCATCGTAACCGCAAGAACACAACTGCAAAGTCGCCAATCCTCTCCACAACCTTCACTGTACGGTAACCCAAGGGTATGTCAAAAACCTGAATCCAAATATCAATGGCATTTAGGGCCACCTGCGTCGGATGATCACCATCATTCAAGACTTGGCATAGGAAAGTAGCATTCTCAAAAGCCCAAGGGCCCTCCTCCAAAACGCGCCGCATATTAGCCTCATCAAAAAAAGTGAACAAATATAGATTAGGTTGAACATCCGTGATCTCGATACCCATCAACGGACGCCATGCCTGTTAGTGATGTTATTATTTATTCCATTATTTGTAATATTAGCTTTGACTAGTCTTATATTAGATTAGTTATTTCAGGCTATCCTAGTTAATAGGAATAGTTAACGCTTTGTATTTAGATTGCAATTCTGTAATCACTATTGTGTTGGGAATAGAAACGGTGATCCTTATCTCATCTGGTATCAGTCCAGGCTCGTTTCTCTCTCTCTCCCCTTCTCCGATCCCTTGCGATCGTAAGCTCCACCCCAAAACGACCGCCGGCGAACCGAGACTGCCACCATGTCCACGAATTCGTCTGAACAAACCGTGACTGCCGGCGATCTATCCCTCCCGAACCCCTCCGCAAATTCCCTTTCTGGAGCACATCACTTTGTATCTATTAAGTTGACGTATCGCAATTTTCTCTTTTGGCGAACGCAACTGGTGCCCTTCCTCCGTGGCCAGGAGCTCCTCGGCTACGTCGACGGCGAGACACCATGCCCACCGCCCACCATCCCCGCTGCTCCAGCGACTGGCGAGTCCGCGTCCGACGCCACCACAGCTACGCCGACTACGAATCCGGCCTACCGGGCGTGGGTCAAGCAGGACTAAGCCCTTCTCTCCCTGTTGATCTCATCGCTCTCCGATGAGGTCATGCATTTAGCGGTTGGGAAAACCACATCCCGAGCCGTTTGGGAGTCAATCGGAGCGGCACTTGGGAGTTCAACGCGCGCACGCTGCCTTAGTCTATTGGGGCAGTTTCATTCCCTCCGACAGGGAAACAGCACGGCAGCAGAGTATTTAGGCCGTGCCCAGCTCTTGGTCGAGGATCTCGCACATGCTGGACGCCCCATCTCGCTAGACGAACAGAATCTGTTCGTGTTCCGCGGTCTGCGCCCGGAATATCGCGCCATGGCATCCTCCCTTACCGCAACCGGAACGCCAGTCACGATCCCGCAAATTGCCGACTACCTGCGAGCGCAGGAATTTATTTATTCAGATGATTATCCGGCCAGCCCTGACTCTGCAATGATTTCGGCTCCAGCTGCTATGTTCGCCGGGCGGGGACGTCGTGGCGGCGGTGAAAGTGGGCGAGGTGGCTCCGGGTCTGGTGGCCGCAACTCCTCGCACAGAGGTCGGGGAGGACAAGGACGCGGGCGTGGTGGCCGTGGCGGGGCGCCGCGCTGCCAAATCTACCGTGTACAAGGGCACACTGCCCTCTATTGTTACAAGCGCTATGCGCCGCAGCCGGCACCACAGGCCAATATGGTGGTTTCCGGAGACGAGGCAGCAGCGGCTTCCACGGCAGCAAGCTGGTTTCCAGACACCGGGGCAACGGCCCATGCCACCCCGGATGCATCCATGATGTCGCAGTCCGAAGAGTATGCCAGGGGCGATGTCCTCCGCGTGGGTAATGGGACAGGTTTGATAATTTCACGCGTAGGCCATGCTACTATACCATCTATGTCAAAAGTGTTACGTTTGTCAAATGTCTTACATGTCCCGAAATTATCTGTACCTTTATTGTCTGTTTATCGCCTTACGAATGAAAATAATGTTTTTGTTGAATTTCACAAGAATTGTTTTATTGTGAAGGATACAATCACCAAGGCGGTTCTGCTTAAAGGTCTCACGTCGGGTGGCTTGTACAAGCTCCCAGTTTCGCAATCCCATTTCGCGTACATTTCTGCCCGGGCAACTCCCACGGTTTGGCATCGTCGCTTGGGACATCCAAATGGCCATGTGCAAAATCGCGTCCTAAAGTCGTGTCCGGTTGCGTCAAATAAAACTCAGCCGTTGGGGTCGTGTTCCTCGTGTCACCTTGGCAAGGCCTCTAGATTTTCACTAGATAGGGTCAATCACTGTAGTGAAAATGTGTTAGATTTGCTATTTACAGACATTTGGGGTCCGTCCCCTGTAATCTCTACTAGTGGCTTTAGATATTTCGTGTTATTTGTAGATGATTACTCACGTTTCTGCTGGTTTTATCCCTTACGGGTAAAATCAGACATATATAAAATATTCGAGTCGTTTCGTGTCATGGTAGAGCGCCAATTCGGGCGTTCTATCAAGTCTATTCAATCGGACCTAGGAGGGGAATATCGTAAATTACATAACGTTTTCACCCAACTAGGAATAATTCACCGTCAGTCATGTGCGTATACGCACGAGCAAAACGGTAAAGTTGAGCGCAAAAACCGGCACGTTGTTGAAACCGGCTTAGCGCTATTAGCTGAAGGCTCAGTTCCCTTGCAATATTGGGACTTTGCTTTTGAAACAGCTACTTGCCTAATCAATTATCTACCAACACCCGTGTTACAGTTTGATAGCCCATATTCACGCCTACACAAAACTCCGCCCCCATACACTTTCCTTCGAGTCTTTGGGTGCAAGTGTTATCCCTATCTTCGGCCTTACAATCGGCACAAGATAGAGTATCGCTCTGCACCGTGTGTCTTCTTAGGTTACCCACCCAGCTTTAGGGGCTATAGATGCATGGACCTAACAAGTGGAAAATCTATACCTGTCGCCATGTGCGCTTTGACGAGTCTGTTTTTTCCTTTTCAGACTTAACAGGAGTTCAACACACTAAAACAAGCAGTGCAGCTTCTCCGTGGGCTGTGGCGCCTCTTGTAACTCATAAGTACGCACCGAATGAGGGGGTGCTAAATGAAGCGGTGAGTGTTAGTGCAAACAGCCCTACACCACTAGCTCAAGAGCCACCGCCCTTGGCAATAGAGGGACCAGCTCACGCTCAGACTGAGCCACCGCGTGCACGCACTCGAAAAACCCGCAAACAAGGCCAAGAACGAGCGCATGTTATGCGCCTACGGCATCAAACGAAGGGTACTGAAGAACAATTTCAGGCCTTGACAGCAACTATAGATCCAACCTGTTACTCACAGGCAGTAGGACATCCGCAGTGGCGGGATGCTATGGATCAAGAGTTTAACGCTCTTATACATAATGATACCTGGAAACTTGTACCGGCTGAGCCACACATGAATGTGGTAGGGTGCAAGTGGGTGTTCCGCACCAAACGGAATGCTAATGGCTCGGTCGAGCGGTATAAAGCACGGCTGGTGTCTAAAGGGTTTAACCAGGTGGCTGGTGAAGACTTCTTTGACACATTCAGTCCTGTAGTCAAACCGACTACTGTTCGCTTATTATTTGCTCTTGCAGTTTCACGGGACTGGACTATGCGCCAGCTAGACGTCCATAATGCCTTTTTAAACGGCCATCTAGCTGAAACTGTCTATATGAAGCAGCCACCGGGGTACGAAGATCCGACACATCCAGATCATGTGTGTCATCTTCAACGGTCACTATACGGGCTTAAACAAGCACCCCGAGCTTGGTTTAAGCGTTTACATGACTTTTTACTTTCTGCAGGCTTCTTATCCTCTAAAACAGATGTGTCCCTATTTCACTACTCTACTGGGACGTCACGAGTGTACTTACTTGTTTATGTCGACGACATAATAATGATGGGCAACGACCCTGAGCTCATCTCACGCTTACTACAACGGCTGTCAACAACGTTCAAAATTCGTGACCTTGGAGTTCCTAGTTTTTTCCTCGGGATCGAGACGTTAAAAGATGGCTCGGGGTTTTTACTGACGCAGCAACGTTATATGAGGGACATTCTCAACCGTGCTGGCATGACGGATTGCAAGCCACTCGCCACACCTGCTGCCGTTACTCAGCCAGTGACTTCATCTGATGAACTGTTTGACAACCCGACGCAGTACCGTCGCTTAGTGGGGGCGCTTCAGTATCTGACCATCACCCGTCCTGACTTATCTTTCTCTGTCAATCGCCTATGTCAGTTTATGCATTCACCTACCAGTGATCATTGGGGTTTACTGAAGCGTGTGCTGCGATACATCAAAGGCACTATCTCATATGGTCTGCGCCTCTCCGCCTCCGCTTCATCCACTATTCATGGGTTTTCTGACTCGGACTGGGCCGGTTGCCCTATCGACAGGAAGAGCACCAGTGGATATGCTGTGTTTCTCGGTGGTAATCTGATCTCGTGGCTCTCCCGGAAACAGCGCACAGTAGCCCGCTCCTCGACTGAAGCTGAGTATAAGGCCCTCGCCGATGTATCTGCAGAAGTTACCTGGGTGGTCTCTCTGCTTCGTGAGCTTGGGTTACACTCAGGAGAACCCTCTACGCTTTGGTGCGATAATCTGGGTGCTACCTACCTTTGCGCCAACCCAGTGTTTCACGCCAGGACCAAGCATGTAGAGATTGACTTCCACTTCGTTCGGGACAAGGTGGCGTCGGGAGACTTGATTGTTAATTTTGTTTCGACGAAGGATCAGCTTGCAGATATATTTACAAAACCTTTGCCAGGGCCCCGCTTTGCAGATCTACGTGACAAGCTCAACATTGTGCCGCACCACTCTTGAGCTTGAGGGGGTGTGTTAGTGATGTTATTATTTATTCCATTATTTGTAATATTAGCTTTGACTAGTCTTATATTAGATTAGTTATTTCAGGCTATCCTAGTTAATAGGAATAGTTAACGCTTTGTATTTAGATTGCAGTTCTGTAATCACTATTGTGTTGGGAATAGAAACGGTGATCCTTATCTCATCATGCCGAAGCCATAACACGCTTCATCATCTTGTTCTTGATATTTCGATCTGTCAAGAAGCGACCGACTAAGGTCTAGGTCTGCCTCACCGGTGCCTGATCGATGCCGCCGGTAACCTCCTCCTCAAAACATAGCCCCTGCTCCTCATCCTCCAACGTGATATCCGCAGTGCTTGCAATGATATCCTGGACATCCATCACTAGTACAGATCTGCACATCCACTACCCTTGTAAAGGGCTATTCGCTACCCTTGTACAAGGGTAGCGGATACTAGGGTCGCTGAAAACCCTGAGCTTTTCGCTACCCTTGAATAAGGGTAGCAGAAAGTTAAGAATCCGCTACCCTTCTTTATGAAGAAGGGTAGCGAATATCATTAATTTATTATATATTTTTTTTAAACAATCCACTACCTTTCTTAAAAAGAAGGGTAGCGCATTGTTTTTTTATAAATTAAAAAAAATTCATTATTATATTTAAATTTCCCAATTTTTTTAGAATCCTATACGGAATTCATACACTACATATCAGCATAATACTAACCATCAACAAATTATCAAAACACAATACTTATATACAGACAATGTATCAACAATGTTTGGTTCAGGTGAAAGGAGGTTTGTTCCCTATGTAGGTTCTCAGGTTTGAGCCTTTTTGAATAGAGCCACAAGAGTTGGAGAGATCCCCAAATGGGATTTGACAGTAGCTCAGTTTTAGATTCGTTGAAATTTATTGTTGCTACCAGATTTTGGGGGTCATGTTACAAAAAAAAAGAATATTAAATACAGTTTTATAGGGAAAAAGGAATAGGTGACAAAAACAATGTAAAACAGAAAGCAAATGAAAAATACCTGTAATTGTTCATGAATTACAGGGGTAATCTGATCTAAGTTAAGCATTGATGAGATCTGTTAGCTCCACAAATGAAGTTAATATGACTATCACCTGCATTAATTGAACAAAAAACTCTCTATACATTAAGAACAATAAATAGATATACTATGCATAGAATTCATTGACAAAAGGTTATTGTATGTTAACAGTTAACACTTTAACCAGGTCATCAATAAGCATGCTAAATATGACCAAGTAGCCATTCCATTGATTTATACTTCCAAAAGCAAAGTGGCATAGAAACACATAGAATTCCCAATATTAAAATAAAAATAAAAATAAAAAAGGAAAGTATATTACATTATTTTGGTGCACTGACAAGAGAAACTAGCTCAGCACTATTGATCATACTCAAACATATTAAATATGCTTGTGTAGCAATCAAATTACTTGGTGATTTATTGCTTAGCAATCAATCAGGATGGGCTGTAGTATATGAGGCTGCTTGTTTTTGCTGTATCATCAGCTGCTGATTACTTAGCAGCTTCATCAGGATGGGGTAATTCTTTACCTCTGCAAAAACAAACAAAAATCAACAGGCTGCAGCCCTCTTAATCTTGCTCCCTTCTGTTTTGGCCTGCAAATCAGTAGAAGACTGGGATTAGGTTTCCAATTCTCCACCTATTTGTGTTAGCCTTGCCCTTTCTCCTGCTGTCCACCCTCAGAAATTACCCAACTAAGCATCCCATCATCAGGTTGGGACCAGCTGTATCAAACCTGTTGCTGAAAAGAAACCAAGGAAAAGAAAAGAAACCAAACAAACAAAAGATTCAAGAGGGTACTGAACACAGAGCAACCCCATAAGCTTAATTTCTTCAGGAGGGTACTCTCCATCCTACTTAAAATCCAAGTTAAAATATAATCATGGAACAGAACGCCCAACACTAAAATTTACAATCATACATGTAATGAAAATTCAACTGGAGTCAGGGACGAAGCCAGAAATTCGATTGAGGAGGGGCGAAGAAGTAGGACGAATTCAGAAATTTTTTCCAATAAAAGCGAAACATTAAAACAAAAGAGATAATTAAAAAAAGTTACCTAAGAATTTTTTTTATAACTATTACTTAAGAAATATAGTTGTAAATATTGTTGGATATGTGCGAAAAATAAAACACATCGAAACTTTATACAAATGTTCGTAACAAAATATGAAACATAATTAATTTGAATAGAAAACACATTATAAATTACACATATTAAATATTAAAAAAGTGACTCTCTTAAAGCCATAGGGGAAGGACTCAAAAATATGTAAAACTATATTATTGCAAGGATTTGAACCCAAGACCTTTCCCATTAATAAACACATGCCCTACCAACTAATCTAACTTCTCACTTGTTAACATTTACTAGTTGTTTTATACTAATACTAAAACCTATACTATATATACATATATACATACAAAGATTATATATGGGGTGGGGGTGAGGGTGGGGCCAGGAGGGCAGCTGCCCCCCTTGCCCCCCCTTTGGCTCCGTCCCTGACTGGAGTTAAAAACTGAACTGGAAATGTTAAACTCTCACAAAGCAAATTCACATAAGATGGAGTGGCAGGAGTGCTAAACAAATCGCCTATCAACATTCTACATAAAGTGAAAATAGAAGACTATTACACATAATATGCTAAAAGATACCAGTGACAAATCTACAAACAAGACTAGTATGCATTACAGTTAATAGGCAGCACCACAAAATCCAAGAATGATCAATTTTTATAGACTGAGCTTTTATGTCCATATATATGCAGTAAACTCTTGATGTTTATAAGCAAAAAACCAAGAGAACAAATTGCGAGATCAAACTCTGGTCACAGCTTACAGATTGATCCATCAATAATAAAATTCACATGTACAATTTAACAGCAATATTCCACATATTAGATCAAGAACATCAGAGAAAGCATTTCATATGAATAAAGATTTCATGATCAGCAATGTACTGTTTAATAAACAAATAATTCTCATAGATCTAATTATCTAAATCATTTGGCAGTGGGCACAAACAATTAAGAGGGGATTATGTAATTAACAATTTTAAAGATCCATCATTAAAATATTACACAAGTGTTCCTCCTAAACAAAGAGTTCCAACTATGCATATATTTAGCACTATCATCATTCATTTGACTTTTTCTTTTCAAGATATAAATTTCAGAAATTTACGGAGAAAAAAAAGCCTCAAATGTTACCCCAAAAGTGCAACATTAGTTTTACGAATCGGAGATCATACGATTAAACGCGAGCAGCAACAGCCGGAGCAGTAACAGTAGCGGCTACGGTAGAAGCACCGCTGGTCAAGAAAGACAAGAATCCAGTTGAAGGCGCGTCTTGCTCGTCGAGGAAGAGATCTTCAGGTTGACGGAAAGCGGCGTGGGTGCAGATAATAGCAACGCCGACCATCAATGCGGAGACGAGAACAGATCCAACGCTTGTGAGGAAAACGACGGTGACTGTGGAGACGAGCAAGGCACCGAGGGTTTCTTTTTTTGTTAGCGTACGTTTTGGGGTTTTATCTTCTTTTTTTTTCTTTTTTTTTTTTAAATAATATAACTATCCGATGCCCTTGCTATAAGAAAGGGCAGCGGAATCTCTTTCCGTCTTTTTTTTTTTTTTTTTTTTTAAAACCGCTACCTTATTTTAGAAAGGGTAGCGGTTTCTTATTGATTTATTTACAATTATGCCACCACCCCTTTTTTTAAACAATACACTACCCTTGTTTAAAGAAGGGTAGCATAAAAGGTTTATTCTTAGCTCCATTTTGTACTAGTGCATGGCAAAGACACAACCTCGCAAACGCACGAATAGCCTATCAGCTCGTGAATATGCAACGATGAAGCAAAACCCTAGATCCCAAGGAGAGAACGAGAGAAACCCTAGATCCTAGGGAGAGAGAATTCCTGCCGCTGTCAAGATCGAAACCTAATTGCACGATATTTGACAATATTAAAACTTATTTACATGACTCCTTTTTTACGCGCATTGCGTGAATGAGATAATACTCAATGATTTTTTTAAATAAGTACTTCAAAGTATATCAATGCAAGAGTATATAGGAGATGTTCATGCATATGAAATTGAATGTTGAATTTGTTTATTTAAATTAGTAATTCAAAGTATATAAATGCAAGATAATATATGAGAGATTGATTATAATTTTCACTAAAATAAATGCTTGTAACTTAATAACACTAGTCTAAAAACGACAGTCTAAATAAATACTACTTTTGGTTTAAATTTCTCTAAGACCCTGTTTGGTAAATGGCTGTTAGCTGTTAGCTGATTGTGTTAATTAGAGGATATAACTAGTTGGTAAATTAGTTGTTAGCTGATAACTGTTTAATTTGGTATAATTTCTTTTTTTTTTAAAAAAAGCTAATTGAAAAATTTGCTTGGAGTAGCTTTTTAAATTTTATGCAAAAAGCTAATTAACTAAACACTTATATTGATATTTTAACTAAATCAAACAATTAATAGTGATCAAAAAAGCCAAAATTGGCCTATCGGACAATTTTTTTTACCAAACAGGGCTTAAGTCTTCTTAATTCTCTTTTGGATAGCATTGTCATTGTCTTCATCTTCATTATTTGTAATCTTCTTTTTTTTATTGGTAGTGTGTCATGTGCAATTGGGTTACTGGTGGTAGCGTAGAGGGTAGCGTCATGCAATGAGATCATGGTGTAGGAAGTTTTAGATTTGTCTTACTGTGTATATGACTGAGATCTTAGTTGTACTATGAACTCTTTATCTTGCAAGCGCCTATTAATATTTGGCAGTGATAATTTTTTTTTTACATGTTTCATGTGTTGTGAGATCTGTGTCATAGATTATCATGTGAAAGTATTGAAAAAAATATTAATATTTATTATATTTGTATATAATACGTGTAAATAAATATATAACATAGGGAAAAGGGTCAAATAGACCCTTGAACTTTAGGCAAAAGTGCAATTAGGTCATTCAACTTTTAAAAAGTGTAATTAAACACTTGAACTTGTTATTTTGGTGCGTCTAAACCCAATAGCCGGTTATTCACCTGGAATAACCGATCAAAAAGATTCCGGCAATATTTCCGATAATAATTCCGACGACAACAAAATTAAAAAAAAAAAAATAGATCACCTAACCAGAGAAGACAACCTTTCGATCTTCTTCTCCAGTGGAGAAGGCGATAGATCTGGTCACCTTCTCCACACTTGGAGAAGGCGACCGGACTTTGGTCACCTTCTCCACTTGGAGAAGGCGATTGGACTAGTCGCCTTTTCCACCGAAAAATACGACCGGTCATCTTCTCTGGTGGAAAAGGTCATCGGAAGTTGCTTTTTAAGGTTTCAATGGTGGTTAGCAGCGGCCAATGATGGTCAACGTCGATAATATTACCCCGAGTAACCTATTGGTTACTGGTAAATCGGACTTATTTGACGCATTTTGATAAGTTAAAGTGTTTAATTGCACTTTTTTAAAGTTGAAGGGAGTAACCACACTTTTGCCTAAAGTTCAAGGGTCTATTTAACCCTTTTACCCATAACATATTTTGTACTATAACTTTGATATTTAATTACAAGATAGTGTAAAAAAGATGAGAATATAATTGTGTTGTATTCAATAATAATGTCTGAGAGTACAGGGAGCGAATATATAGAGATGCTAGATAGAATCCTAGTCTAACATGAATAATATAGTCCTAGTCTAATATGGATAATAGAGTCCTAATAGTCCTAATACTCCCCCTCAAGCACAAGGTTGGTCAGCCAAAACATTGAGCTTGCAACTGTGACACCCCAAAAATCCACGCTCCAATCCATGAATTAATTGAGTAATTAATTCTATTTCTCTTGAGGTATTGATTCCTAAAATCCTGATTTTTTATATTCAAGGACTGGAATTTGACTAGTCAATCTTTAAGTTGTGTTGTACCTTGTGCTTAGAGATGAGTTCCCTTGTTCCTTACACTTTCTAAGAGTTAGTAAGGGTATCCTTGTCTTTTCACCAAGAGCTAGTGTTGTAATCTAAACCTAGAAGACATCTTCATTTCATTCCTTACAATTCCTAGAAAAATATCTCTACCTTCTCTCTAGAAAAGAAGATTAGCTTGTTCTTCAAGCCAAGTGAGACCTTTGTCAAGATTCCAAGTTTTGCTTCCAAGATTCAATCTTTCATCTATTTGGGCATCTAGAAGGGTAAGATCTAAGCTTGTCTAGTCTTTTTGGTTCCATCTTAGTTGTCTTTTTCTTAAAGGTAGGATCTTTATGATCTTTTGGTTTGATCTTGAAGTGGGTTTGGCTAGTGAGCTTAGTGGAGAGCTTGTTGTGGTGTTAAGAGAAGTCTTTTGGTCTTCAAGAGGAAACCCATGCTCTACAAAACCTATTTTGCTTACCTATATGTGATTTCTTGGATTTTACTTGTGTTTTTGCTATGGAATGTGAGGGTTTATGCATTTATCTTGTGATATTGCATATCTAGAGCTTGTGTTTAGGATTCCTTTGTGCCATTGCTTGGCATGTTCCTTGGTTCAAGTCACTTTGTTGTGTTTGGTGAGATTTGGCATGTTTTGGACTTGAATTTGTGTTTGGAGGAGAAAATCCCCGAAGGGATTTGTTGTGGAACAGGTGTGTTCCCGTGGGCAGAACGGCGGGCGGGGCACCACCCGCCGGCCTACCCGCAGGTACAGCCTCGTGGGATATTGTTCCCGCAGGCGGGACCACGGGTGGGGCACTACCCGTGGGTCCACCCGCGGGTACATGGTTGTGGCGATGTCGGGATTTGTTCCCCGTGATTTGGTTGTCGTGGTGTTTGATCATTTGGCTTCCCGTTGTTCTTTTGTGGAACTATTTGAGTGTCTTCTTAATGTTTCGTAGGTCTAGAGCTTTATGGTAGGTATCCTTGTAGGATCTTTGGTGTCTTGAATCGTGCTAAGTGTTCAACA